ACCGTGTGGGCCAGCAACGACCCCCTGGGCTTCGCCGCCTCCCAGGCCAACTTCTACCCGCCGCCTCCCGAGTGGATCCATGACAAGTACGACACCACGGGCGAGAATCTGCGAAGTGAGTGAGCGTGGTGGGCTCCCCATGACCCCCTCCTGCCCCCTGGCATCCCCCTGCAGAGGACTCTGCTCCCTGTACTTTTCCTGCCCCGTAAGCATCACCCCGAAGAGAAACAGCCCCAGTATCCCTCATCCTGTCGGCATCCTCCGGTAGAGAAACTGTCCTGCTTCCCCGTGCCCCATGCTCATCCCCCTGCACCCCACACCCCGAGAATCTCACTGCGCACTCCCCCTGCCCTTCACCCTCCTGCTGCAGCAACACGCCTCTGCTCCAGCCCACGAGCATCCCACCGCAAAGAAGCTCCTCCGCTCTGTTACACCTCTCCCTCACAAACATTTTCCCGCTCCCCGTGACCCCCTAACCCCACAGGCATCCTGCCAGCAGAGAAACCCCCTCCTCCTGGCCCCCAGCCTGCTCCCTGCACACTCCCCAGCCCCATGGTACCCTGCCAGGCATCAGGCTGCCTGGGCTGCACTCAGACTGGTGTGACTGGGGTACCCCTGTGCTGCCTCTATCCCCATACTGCCCGTGCTTTCCTCCCCAGTCCCAGCAGCCCAGCCACTGGAGTTCGCCCAGTTCCCTTTCTACCTGAGTGGGCTGCGTCGCACGGCTGACTTTGTGGAGGCGATTGAGAGTGTGCGGGCCATCTGCCGGGAGGCCGCCCAGCGCCACGGGGTGCTGAGCTACCCCAGCGGCTACCCCTTCCTCTTCTGGGAGCAGTACATCGGCCTGCGCCACTGGTTCCTGCTGGCCATCAGCATCCTGCTGGCCTGCACCTTCCTCGTCTGCGCCCTGCTGCTGCTCAACCCCTGGACGGCCGGCATCATCGTGAGTACGAACCCCCGAGGCAGGGGGGCGGCGAGGGGTGACCGTGCTGCCCTCCTGATGGGTGGGGACAGGGACGTCCAGCTCTGCTCCCATCCTGCTGTGTGGTCCTGGGTACCTGCTTCATGGGGCTGGGGGAATGGGGTGGCCGCCCCTGGGTGGAAGAGACACCGATATGGAGGTGGCAAGTGGGTGGGGAACACCTGTATGGAGGGATCGGGGTCATCACTTATGAAGGGAACACACGGAGGGAACAGGATTATGGGGACATCCATGCAGAAACGGGTGAGGGGGACACCCATGTGGAGGTGGCAGTGAGTTTCATCCATATGGAGGGATCAGGGACACCCCTTATGAAGGAAACGTGTAGTGGGCAGGGGTTTGGGGACATCCATGCAGAGGAAGGTGAGGGCCACCCCCAATAGATGAGACAGAGGGATACCCCAAATAGAAGGAAAAGGGGGCAATGGGGTGAGGCTGCCCTATATGGAAGGGTGGGATCAGGCATGCCAGGCAGAGGGGACAGCCAGTCAGAGCCACCCCTCACTGACCCCCACCACCCCCTTCCAGGTCTCCATCCTGGCCATGATGGCAGTGGAGCTGTTTGGCATCATGGGGCTGATGGGCATCAAGCTGAGTGCCATCCCTGTGGTCATCCTCATCGCCTCGGTGGGCATCGGTGTGGAGTTCACTGTCCACGTGGCCCTGGTGAGCACAGGCAGGCCCCCTGCCCAGCCACAGGGCACCCCAGCTCCCACTCCCCGGCACCTCCACCCCTTTGGCCCTGTGCCCATGGGTGGCCACGGCATGGGTGGCACACGGGGACGAGCCCTGCGTGACACCCCCATCCCATGCAGGGCTTCCTGACAGCCGCGGGGAGCAGGAACGTGCGCTCGGCCGCAGCACTGGAGCACACCTTTGCCCCCGTGATGGATGGTGCAGTCTCCACCCTCCTAGGCGTCCTCATGTTGGCCGGCTCCGAGTTTGACTTCATCATGAGGTGAGCACCAGAGGGGAGTAACCCAGCTGCTTTCTGCCCCCCCCCCCCCCCCCCCCCCCCAAGCTTCAGCAGTGGGATCTGGTGAGCGTGGCAGCCCCCCTCGCTGGCAGCGGGGATGTGGGGGGCAGCAGGCAAGGATGCGTCTTGCTGGGGAAACCCACTCCATCTTGCACGGAGGCTGAGGTGACGTGGGGGGGCTGGGGTGCGTGGTGTGGTGTGGGAAGCCGTGTTTGGGGTGGGATGCGGTTGGTGGCGGCTATGCCCACTTACCCTCTCTGCCTGTGACCCCCGCAGGTACTTCTTTGCGGTGCTTACCATCCTGACGCTGCTGGGGCTGCTCAACGGGCTGGTGCTGCTGCCAGTCCTGCTTTCCGTCATTGGACCACCCCCTGAGGTACAAGACCCCCCATCCTGCCTCTCCCTGTCCCTCCCCAACCCTGTACCCACTCCTCTTCGTTGCCCCTCACCTTGTCCCCCACTTCACTCCATTCCTGCCTTGTCCAGTCCCAACTTCGTACCCACCTCACCCTGTTCCATCCCTGCTTTACCCCATCCTTTCTCTGCCCCATTTCCAACTTGCCCCATACCTGCTCAACCCCATTCCTGCTTCCCCTCATATCTCCCCCACCCCTCACGGCCCTCACCCCATACACCCTGCCACCCCACACTCCTCCATCCCTATACGTCCCCAGTCTCTCTGACTCTCTCCCCTCTCTTCCCAGGCATCCCAGGCGGATAACAGCCCCCACCTGCCCCCACGGGAGCCGGTGCCCCCGTGCCTGGGTCCGGGGGGGCTGTATGTCCGGTGTGCCCCAGCCTGGCCTGCCACCTTCCCTGACCCCTCAGACACGGAGCGCTATGCAGAGGGTGTGGGGCCAGGCAGCCCCCGGGGACCCTTCATCGTGCCCCCTGCCCCAGCACACATCCTGCTGGAGGCTGGCAAGGACCCCAGCTTCCCCCACATCACTGTGAGTGTCTCTCCCCTCTGTGGCATCACCGGTTCCTCGGCATCCCTTGGGAGAGGGTCACAGATGGGACCAGGGGTTGGGGGCTCATGGGTCCCCTGCGGTGCTGTTGGGGTTGCTCAGCATGGCTGGGGGCCCTCATGCTCCATGTCCCCCCCTCCAGGTGCTGAAGCCCTACAAGGACAGCCCGGATGTCCGGGGGAAGAAGGAGGCTCCCAGCCTGCAGCCTGCACCCCCCTTGCCCTTTGGGGAGCCGTGCCCCACACTGCCCCGAGACAACCCGCAGCCCTGCCCGCTGGGCGCCCGGCCAGCACCCCCCACAGCCCTGCCCACCTACAGCACCCACCTGCAGGGTCCCGCCAGCAGCTACACCACTGTCACAGCCACCGCTTCGGTGACGGTGGCCCTGCACCCCACGCTGCCTGGCTCCTACCCCAATTTCAGCCCCGAGGGCTTTGCCGCTGGCGAGCGGGACTGCCTGGAGGAGCCCAGCGCCGGTGGCACTGCCGTGCCCGACACCTTCGAGATGCAGAGCATGGGACGCCGCGGGGCAGGCGCCCGGCGCTAGGTGAGTTTGGGGACACGAGCACTCTACCCCCAGGGCTCACGTGTGGCAGTGGTGGTGGTGGGGGGGGGGGGTGCAGGGTGGATTTGGATGGACCCAACTGACACCCCTCTCCCTATTCTCTCTCCCCGCAGGTTGCCAGCTCCTGGGCAGAGCATCTCACCAGCGCCCGGCGGGCACAGGAGGGTGCAGAGCGGGGTCACCCGCGTCGTGCTGCTAATCGCCGGAGCGGCGATGCCCCCCCCCCCGGCCCTGGTCTCAGCTGAGGAGGACCAGCCCCCCAGCATCTCCCGCAAAGGGGCTCGGCAGGGCAAGCTGGCACTTCTATGCAAGCTGTGTGCAGGCCACGCCATGCCCACGTGTCCCCCATCTGGGGCTGTGCCGATGGTGCCAACGTCCCCTCACCCAGGGTTTGGGGTTACCCTGCCCCGGGCTTGTTGCCCCCCACCCCCCCAGAAATGGAAGCACTAACCCTCCCTCTGTTTCTGGAGCTGCTGGCAAGGTGGGCTTAGTGCCCTGCCAGCTCCCCCCCTGTGGGGTCACTGCCTGCTCCCCGTCACCTCCTCCTGGGAGCCCCCACCTGGGCCATGAGCTGGGGTGCCCCAACAGGGTGCCCTGATGCCCCCCGTCCCGATAAGGGGGCAGCCCCACAGCCAGCCATGCCCTGGGATGCCAGGGGCAAGGCCTAGGGTGGGCAACCCCCACCTTTATTTATTGCAAAGGGAAACTATCTATAGAGAGATATATATTTTTAAGCTTATTTTAAAAGATTTATTTCTCAGCCTATGGCCTCACCCAGCTGCCCAGGGTGCAGGCAGGGAGGGGGGCAGACCCTTTGCCGGTGCAGGACTGCCTGCCGGAGGCAGTGGGAGTCCGGGGTAGGGGTGCAGACCTGGTTCATGCCCCTAATCCACGGGGTGCTGGGTGGCCACGAGCAGCTCACCCCCTCCAATGTGTTGCTCCGTGCCTCAGTTTCCCCACCGGTGAGCATGGGAGGGCTGGAGATCGGGGGCGTGCTGCAACAGAGCCAGGGAGCCTGTTGCTCCCACCCCACAGCAGAGGGTTTTTTTGGGGGGCGGGGGGGGGGAGTGTGTCCTTGGGGTGGTCCTTGCTGTGCTGAGCCCCTGAGCTCTCCCACGGTCACCGCCCCTCATGCCACACTCACGTTCTGCCCTGGTGAGAGCACGTGCTGGTGCACGCACAGGGCCATGCACGCTCATGTGGGTGCCCGCGACGCCACCGGGCACATCTCACCAGGAAAGCGAATTTCTCACCGTGTCCCCATGCAGCGGGGTTGTCCCTGAGGCCAGCCCCTGTCCCCGTCCCCATCCCCATCGCGGGCACCGTCCGCACCGTTACCCAGCACTTTAACTCCAGCGGTGTTTGCTGTGCCCATGGCCCCGCCTTCCCCCCCCCAGCCCCCAGACACTGCCGCTGAGCTGGGGGGGTCCCAGGGACCCTGTCCCCGTGCCAGGCGTGGGCATGGTGGGCAGCCCCCCCCCCCCCCCCCCCAACACGCCATCTAAGTTATTTATATCAAAGAGAGCAAAGGTTTATTTTTGTAGTTTGTACAGGCGGTAGTGGGGACTGAAGGTTTATTTTTAAAGAGTAAATATATATATATTATATATAAATTACCTGCTGTGTCTGACCCTTTCTCCTGGGGGGGCACAGCTTGGGGAGGGGGATGCTTGCGACAGACCCAGTTATGTGCATACATGCGATGAGGGGTGCAGGAGGGTGGGGGGGGGACCCCGTGTGTGCGTTCTCTGGAGAGGTGTGTAAGAGTGTGTGCGGCACACGGAGGGACTGGCAGCCTGTTGTGCCCCCCTCCTCGGGGCTATGAGGGGCTGGGAGCTGCTGTCAGGATCTCGGGTGGGGTTTGGGGGGGTCACTAGCATTGGTGCAGCGGTGCTGGGTGAGCGCAGAGATGCTGGGGTCCCCCACTCCCACTTGCCACCCTCTCTAAGCCTCAGGCTCCCCACCCCGCTCAGCCCCATCCCCACGGCTGCTGTGGAGTGGGGGGGTCGTGCCCCTGCCCAGGTTGGTGCCAGTGGGGGGTGCCTGCTGCAGCGCGGCCCCGCTGCCGGGGGAGGGCAGCACGGCGCTGGGGAAGGGCCCCGGCTGGGGCGGGGGGCGGCAGCAGCGGGGCTGGGAAAGGGGGAGCTCACCCTGTGTCCCCATCCTGCAAGGGACCCCTGCAGCCCCCGCCACCCCTGGGGTTCACTGCCCGGGGTTCCTGCGGGCGCTGCGGCGCCTGGGTGTCCTCGCACCCACCCCATGGCCCAGCGCCAAACCCCGCCCGCCCCAGTCCCCGCACCACTTTTGGGGGGTGACCTGGGCATCCTGCCCCGTCCCCGAAACCCCGAAAGTGGTGTGGGGCAAAGCGCTTTATTGATGCTCTCGGCCACGGCAGCACCTCTGACAGTGCTCACCCCGCAGCCTGCCCCACTGCGGAGCACCCGTGGGGGGGGGGGGCCACTGCCGCTGCCCGAGCCCACAGGTTGGGCTGGGGGGACCTCAGCCCCCGGCCCCTACTTGGTGTGTGGGTCAAGGTGCCGGTGGTGGTCGCGGGGCCTCGTGCCGCGCCGGGGCCGGCAGAGACGGGAGGGCACCCCACTGCCCCTCCGCAGCACGTGGGACCGCCAGGCTGCCGCGATGTTCTCCACCTGTGGGGACGAGGAGAGGGATGGGGGGGCATCCACATGGCCACAGCGTGGTCTCCCCTGCCCCAAACCCGGCCCTGCAGCACCCTCCGTCCCCGGAGGTGAGGCAGGGCACCCCGAGAGGAGGCTGCAGCTCACCGGGATGAGCAGATCCCGCTGGTTGTGGCTCTCCAGCGTGGCCAGCTCGCTGGGTGTCAGCAAGGGCAGGCGCAGCTCCTGCACGGGTAGGGCGGCCACCTCGGGCACCGGGCGCTCCAGGACGGCCTGCCGGCCAGCGGGACATGAGGGATGGGGCTGGTGATGTCCTGGGCACCAGGCAGTGTTTTGGAGGCGGGGGGGGGGGGGGGTTACGGGGAGTGAAGCAGCTTCTGTGCCCATCACACAGCCCCAGTCTCAGGGACAGGGTGCCTGGGTTCCCTGCTGGGGGGTCGGTGGGAGGGGAGGTGGGGTCCAGGCACCCCTGGGTGACTCACCGAGCTGACGTGCGCCCACTCCCGCACAGCCTGCACCAGGTCCAGCTCATCCACGGCCAGGCGGTCGCTGCGCAGCACCCGTGCCAGCACCACGTCGGAGAGCTCGTGGAAGCCCTGTGTCTGCACCACCGCCTGCCAGCACACCGCAGCACCGGGGTGCTACTACTGGGACCCCGCACCAGGCACCCCCCCGCTGTGGGCCATCCTGGCACCATCCCTGCCTGGCACCCCAGCATCCCTCAACCCAGACCCCCATTCCCCGGCACCCCAGTACCCCCCAGCCAGCCTTTACCTGGCACCCAGCAGCTTCACCCCAAACATCATTTGCTCCCTTTGCCCCACTGCCCAGCCTCCAGCCACCCCGTTCTTAAGGTCCCCGCTTCCCTGCCTCATGCTGTGCTCCCCATGCCCCCCCACGCCCTGGGGTACCCGGTGCCATGCTCCCCCATCACCCGCAGCCATACCGCGGTGCAGCCCTCAATGAAGGCCAGGCAGTGCTGCTGGAGGTCTGCCTGCCCGTAGGTCACCGCAGCCTGTGGGACAACAGACGCCTGCAAGGTGGGGTTGGGGACAGGAGGAGACACACACACACCCCCCCCACCACCACCACCACCAAAGCCCTGCAGAGACACCAGCACTCTCAGGGACCCAGGTAAGGTGAGCATCCCTGCGTGTGGGTGCCACAGTGCCCCCACGGTGGCAGCCCTTGCATGTGGGGTACTGGGGACCAGCCCAGGCAGGGTGACCATCGCCTCCCCCTCTACCACGGCAGGGGATCGATGTTGACGTAAGTGGGGAGAGAAGGCAAGATGTTTTCTTCAGGTTTGTTTTGTTCTGGGGTTTTTGGGGTTTTCTGTTTGTTTCCTCCGGGCCAGTTTTAGCTCTGTTTACGCCACGGTGGTCTGGCACCAAGTCTGGTGGGAGTTTCTGTGCTCTGGAGGTGGCATCTCACCCCAAGAGCATCGATTTGGCCTGAGGGAGATGGAACAAATCCCCCTTCTCTGGGGAGCAGCCTTGGCCCCACCAAGCAGTGTGGCAGGGCCTTTGGGACCTACCCCCCGCCCCTCCCCAAGGCTATTTTTAGGTGCCACAACTCTCAGTAGCATTTTTGGGACTGGCCTCAAAACCATGAGAGCTCCCAGAAACCCAGTGCCTCCCAGTTCCATGAAAATGATGGCAAGGCCCTGGCACTGGGGAGCTCTGGGCAGCCCTGTTCAGGGCAGTGTGAGGACATATCTCTGCCAGGCTGTGGTGGCCCCGGTGCCCCTTGCAGCCCTGGTACAATGTGCCCAGGAGCTGGCAGAGCAGCTGCTGGGCCAGTAGTGGGTAGGAAATCCTATCCCACCAATCAAAAGGGTCAGGCCAGCTCCTGCCCAAAAATCATATGGGCCATTTTTAACACGCTGTGACCCCACTGGGGTCACACTCACCTGCAGGGCCTCGCAGACCTGCTCCACGCTCAGCGTGTCCTTGATGAACTTGACGCAGAGCTGGAAGGCAGATGGGGAGAGGGTGGGCAGAACAAGGACCCAGCATCCCCCCCCTCTCCTCAACTCTCAGCATCTCCTGAGCCTCCAGAATATGGGATATGGCACATAGGACATGGGGTGGAGACATCTCCAGCCCCTCCCCAGGTTTTTGTAAGGCAGTGATGGGCTGTGGGATGAGGGCTCGCAGCACAGCTTGTGGGCAGTCAGCCCAGGCGCTGATTCAGCCAAGGACTGAACCTGATGTGATGAAACCCCGGCCAACCTCATAGCTCCAGGTGGGCCACCTAACCCTGACCATAGTCACCAGCCACGTCCTGCCAGGGGAACAGCCCTGGTGCCAGATGCAGGGCACTGGGTGACCCCAGTTTGCCCAGACCTGCCTGCCAACGGTGCTCTGCCTGTGACTGCTGAGGGACCAGCTTCTCCAGCTGTAGCCCACAGGTGGGTGATGGGGGTGGGATGCAGCCAGATGGGCACGTCTGTTGGGGAGCAGGACCTCCCGCCTGCCCATCTCAGCTGCCTCTCACGCAAAGGGGTCAGAGGCCCTGGGAAACCCAAGGGGATGTGACACGCAGGGAGGAGCGGTCAGCTGGAGCAGAAAGGCCCTGAGTCACTGGCAAGAGGGACATGAAGTCACCCTGCAGCTGCGGACAGCCACGGGCTTTCCCGGCTGTCCTTGGTCAGCTCCTTTCCCCCCGCCCTCATGGTTCTCCCCACTCCAGGTCATCCCCATGAGGCTGCATTTTCTGGATGGTGGGGTGGGACTCACGTGGCTGAGTCACCGGGTTCCCATTTTTTTGCAACACCCCTTATGCCCCTTCCCTGCCCCGCCAGCTGTTTGGCAGCCCTGTGCCACAGCCGGGCTTCAGCTGAGCTTGTCCTCGTGGGGAGATGGGGCAAGTCCTGTCCCACCACCCCAGCACGCAGCAGCCTGCAGTTCCTCAGCAAGGTCCTTCCCCGGCACAGTGGGAAGGGAGGGGAAGTCCGGGCGCGAGATGGCAGGTCACGCGATCAGCCCGGACATAATTCAGGAATCACTCTGATGACGTGGCCCGGCCGCCCTCCCCAACGCCGAGCCGCTCCAGCTCCCTGCTCCCTCCTCGTCCGGCTCCCATCCCTCCTTGTTGCTCAACGCTGCCTTTTCAAAACCTTCCAGCCTAAAGCAGCACCCCCTTGGCAGCACTGTGGCTGGGGTGCTCAGTGCTCCCCAGGACCAGGGCTTTCCCTATGGTATCATTCTGCCAGATGACCAGAGAGCACCCGTGGGCGAAGGCATAGGGGCTTTCCTGCTGCCCTTTTCCGTGCGGGAGATGTGAGGCCCCGTGCCCTTCCCTGGGATTTCCCAGCCCCTGTGGGGCTCCCAGCCAGTGTTCCACCCCCCTCAAGGGGGATCCCCCCAGAAAGACCCTCTGGGATCACGAAGCAGGGCCTGAGCCTGCGTTGGACCCAGGTGATGCACCACGTTGCTGTCCTCAGAGCCACCAGCCATGCAGGGACAATTTTGGGGTGCTCCTCAGCATGGGGGGTACTTGGGGACCACAGCCCCTCTGTCTAAGCAGAGCCATACCTTGCACAGGTCCTGCAGGCCATACTCCACTGATGAGGTCAGCACCTCCAGCGCCTGCAGGCAAGAGAGACCTTGTGAGCTTCGGTGTGTAGGGTCACAGACGGGCATGGCAGCCCAGAGGCCAAGGGCATGTGTCCTCCTGCCTCTGTGGGAGCTCCCAGGTGGGGCATGGCGGGGCGGGGAAGGGGCTGCCGCATAGGGGCAGGCATCAGAAGGTGTCCTGTGGTGTCCCCATTCCCAGCATCCAGGGCGTGCACAGCCAGCTGTCCCCAGGCTGAGGCAGACATATGTGGGGCAAGGTGCTCTGGACACCTCACTGTGCTGGGCTGAGACCCCACACACTCATTGCACTGTTAGCCAGCCAGAAAACATCGTGCAGAGCATCCCCCGCCACCTTCGGCACCCCAGGAGCTGCGAAGCACCCCTTACCCCTGCGTCCTCCACACCTTGGCCCACCCACACCCGAGGGCCCTGCCAGCCCCATCCCCACTCACGATGTGGCTGTTGAGGGTGACGCTGTTGGTGTAGAGGAACTCGATGACGGCCAGGAAGACCTCGGGCTGCACGTTGCCCAGGATGAAGGGGCCCTGGGGCGGGAGGCTGCTGGGGGGGTCCTCGCTTCCTGCCGGCCCCTGGCTGAGCATCCCCTGGAAAGCCTGGCAGCGGCACGCCAGCACGCAGCGGTGCGCAAACACCTTCTGCTGCTCCCGGCCCACCACGAACGTCACGTCACTGTGGGGGAGAGGGGACCGTGCCTGGGAAGCTGAGGAGTGGGATGTCCCAGGGCTGGGACAGGGCGCACGGTCAGGGACCAGCTGAGTGCCTGTCCCAGCAGAGCAGGGCCCTTTAGTTTTAATCCAGGGGCTTTTCCCAGTAGAGGCATGGAGGGGTCTTTGTTGGTGGCTCCTTGCAGACACCTGAATGCTGCAGGTGGGGTGAGCACGAGGGGTGCTCCAGGACGCACAGCCAGCCATAGGTGCTGGCACAGAGCAGGGCAGAGAAAGGCCAGGGACAGCTGGAGAAAGTGGTTTTCTCTTTTGGCACAGCAGAGCCGGGAAGAGCATGGCTGCCACCAAGCTCAGCCTCCTTGACTCACAGGAGCTGACTCATGGGCTCAGGGATGAGAAGCCTCCGGCATCGCTGCCAGCGGGGCTGGCACTGGCCCTCCCCAGGCCAGTGGGACAGCGCAGCCTGTGGTGCACACTGAGGCACAGGGGCAATCCCACTGCCCTTGTCCCCCACAGCCCCCCAGCATTGTTCCCCAGGCCCCATGAAAGGGAGGCAAGGCTGGGGGTAAGGGAGTCTCCAGTCTGTGTGCACCGTGAGGCCATGGCCCATCCATCCCCTCATCCTCTCTCTTCCTCCATTCCAGCAAGGCAATGAGCAGAAGACATGCCACCCCAGCTCGAGCTGCCACGAGTCCATGCACAAACCCATGGCCTGATCCTCATGGTGCCCCACAGGGAGACGGATGTGCCCACTGAGGGGAAGGGCACCCGCATCATCCCACATGTATATCGGGACATAAAGGGCTGGGGTGTGCTGGGTGGTGAGAGCAGAGCCCAACAGATCTTCCATGTCTGCTACTGCAAGGAGGGGAGACTGAAATAAATTCTTCCATGGCTATGGTCCACAGGCCAAGAGGGAGAAGCAGGGTGCAGGCTGCAGGCTGTGACACGTGGAATGCAGGCTGAGGTTGTGGGATGCAAGATCTGGGATGCAGGATGCAGGTTGCAGGATGGGGGGTACAGGATGAAGGTTGCAGGGTGCGGGATGAAGAACAAAGGATGCAGGACGTGGGGTGCAGGTTGCAGGACGCAGAATGAAGGGTGCAGGAGGAAGGACGCGGGACGAAGGTTGATGGCTGCAGAGGATGGATTTCAGATTGCAGGATGCAGAATGAAGGCTGCAGGATGCGGGTTGCAGGATTCAGGATGAAGGCTGCGGGATGCAAGATGCGAGCAGCAGGATGTGGGCTGGGGATGGCCAGGCGCTCGCAGCCGCTTCCCCACTGCCTGGCACTGTGGCTGGGGAGTTTTCACTGGGATTTCTCTTCTGGGAGGCCAAAATTTCAGCAGGGATGGGGATTTCCTCAGATAGCACTGGCATTTGTGCCAGCCCTCAGCATGAAGTGGATGAAGAGGATCATGCTGCCAGGCAGGAGGTGCCATGTAGGTGGGGGGATGGCCGAAGCAGCGGCCCCCCATCTCCTCTCCCCACTCCGGGAGGGGGTGACAGGGATGCCAAGCGCTGTGAGAGGGGCTGGCCGGGCTGCTGCCTGCCCTCCAGGACGCGGGGAGGTTGGAGATGTCAAAGGAAAATGCCGGTAAAAGTCAAGGTCAGCCAGGAGCTGAGCATGGGTGGCTGCCTCTGGGGAGTGGGGTGACTGGGGTACCCCCACTCCTGTCAAGGGCAGGAGCCCCAGGATGGGATTTAGCCCCTGGGACACTGCCTTGTCTTGTTGGCCCTGGGGGCAGGGGGGGTTTGGGCGCACCCGGGGACCTCCCCTCCCCCGGAGAGCCGGTGGCTGTCTCGAGGGCGGGGCAGGGGAATGCACCCAGCCAGCCTTCGGCTCCCGCTGCTGTGGGGGGTGCCCCAGGACATGCACAAGCCATGCCTGCCCCCCCACACACCCCCCCCCGCGATTCCTGTCATCACTCGGGGACCCCAACAACACCCCCCCCCCCCCAGCGGGGCTCAGGGCCGTGGGAAAGCAGCACGAAGCAGGAACTGGGGAGGGGGGGTGGGGTGTCCCCCCCCCCCGGCGTCCCTCACCTGAACTGGGGGTTGTTGACCAGAGTGCGGAGGGCGGCAGTGAAAGCGGCCGCTTCGCCCTGCAGCCGCGCCGAGCAGGGCCCGGCCATGGGCCGCCTCGGGGGGGGCGGCAGAGGAGGGCGGCGCAGGCAGGCGGGAGGCTGGCCGGCCCGGGGAGGAGACCGTGTTCCTTAGCCCATTGCTAAGGAAACCTGGCAGGCAGCGCCGGAGCCGGGCGGGGGAGAGGAGGCGGCGAGCAGCGAAGCCCACCCCGGCTGCTGGGGGGGGGGGTCCGGGCGCTCGCCGGAGGGGTGCGGAGCGGGGAGGCCGGCCAGCGTCTCGGTCCAAGCGGCGTCTCCCCGCCGCGGCTTACGGCGTGGTGTCAGCACCGCCGGTACGGGGACCCGTGTCCCCCCCCCCCCCTCCTCCTCCTCCACCCCCCAGCCGGTGGATTTGGCTGCAGGGGAGCCTGCGGATGGGGCAGGTGGGGGTGAAGGGAGGCAGGCAGCTGGGGGTTGGGAAGAGGGAGCACGTGCACAGGTTAAATGCATGAAGGTCACCCCCACCTCCACACGCGTGGCCCCCATGGAAAGCCGCTGGGCACGGCTGGGTCCCCAGCCCTGGCAGTGGAGCAAACTTGACCTCAGTGGGGAGGTCTGCCCCCTGAAATGTCAAAAGCCTTCTCTCCCCCTGATGCTCTGGGCCAAAGCCCTGCCACTCTGTCTGCTTAAGACACAAGCGATTGCAGGCAGAAAAGAAGCATAACCAGCCTTGCCCAAGCCCAAACCAAGTGCTGTGCCAGGGGATGCCCCATCCCCTTTCTCCCAAACCCGGCTGGCCCCAAACAGCCCACAGATGGGGATGTGGGGAGGGTGCCCACAGAGGGACCCACCTTTGCTTGCCAGCAGTGATGGGAGGGAAAGGGACAAGCAGGGCCCACAGCCGACAGCAGCACCCTGAGGGAGCGGGGTCCAGCTGCCAGCGTGCTTGGCAGCGCTAGTCAGCAGCAGGCTATAAATACCTCTGACGGGAGATAGAAACACAAAAGCAGTCTCCACTTTCCTCAAATAGCTCAGCAGCCGGGCCAGACAAAGGCACATTGACAGGGCAGCTGTGGCGTACCAGCTCGGCTGGGCTCCGCCAGCAGAGAGAAACCCCACTCGGGGTCAGGAGCCCCCAGCAAACCTGCCCTCGCGCCAGGGCAGTGAGGCAGCGGGGTCCCCAGAACATGGTAGGGCCGTGCTCAATGTGTGCCCACACATCCACACTCTCCCTCTGTGCGGGGGGGGGGGGGGGGGGCATAAGTACCCAAAGGTTTGCATCCTAAACTAAACTCAGGCTTTTGGAGGTCCCAGCCCCGGTGCAGCCCGTAGTTAGAGTGCAAAGCAGTGATCAGAGCGGCTGCTCTCCAACTCCTGCTCTTCCTTTGCACATTCAACACCAGCAAGTACATTTTGGGGTTGGCAGGGAACAGCCGAGGTTGGAGGGTACATCCCTGGAACAACCATGTCCCTGTACTGGCATAGCTAGAAATGCAGACAGGGCAGGAGTGAAAGGGGATGGGGCAGCCTAAGGACCAGGAAACAAGGAGTTACGGAAGCCGTGCCCCATGAGCTGCAGTGTCACTTAGCAACACTCCACACTCCAGGAGCACAATGGGTTTGGCCCTGTTCACTGCGACTTGGGGGAACCAAGGTTGGTCCTGGGCAGCCGGGAACACGACATCGGCCAGGGACAAGTCCCCTGGGTCTACCTCAGCCAGGCAGGAGTGGGACTAGGGGTAAGTGGGGGACTAGATGCAGAAAGGAGGGATGGGGAGGCTGGAAAGGAAGGAGGTGCTCACTTATGCCAGAAAGAAAGGCTGGGGATGCAAGAGCAGAGGGCTGGATGGACCGTGCATGACTGTGCTGGGTCAGCCCCAGCTAGCTGAGTCTGCAGAGATGGAGGTGCTGGAGAAGGGAAGGCAGCTTCCGTGGTCCCCGCTCTCTGCATCCAGTCCCACAGGGACCCGGGTGCCAGGGAGTGTGGGATTTGCAGGAGGCAGAGAGAAGCAAAACAGAGAGGTGGTGGGATAGAGAGGCTAAGGGGCAGCCCACCTCTCCCCTGACACTCAGAGCCACCTCTCCTTTCCAGGCCACACGTATGGCCGAGCAGCCGTCCCCAGAGATGGCCGTGCCAGCCCAGGGGATGGCTGAGGACAACACTGAAGCCCCTCCACTCCGGGCCACCCGCCGCAGCTCCCAGCCCCCAGCCCGGGGCACTGAGGAAGGTAAAGCCCCGCTCCTGCTCTCCCGCCGCAGCTCCATCCTCAGCACCCTCCCAGCACCCCTGGCCAGCCGCCGCAGCTCGCTCGGGGCAGCCCCAGGGGGTAGGCGCCCCTCCATCGGATGCCCTTGGACGCTCCACAGCCGTGTGAGTTTCTCCGGGCTCCCCCTTTTCCAGCCCATCCTCAGGACCCTCCTTGAAAACACTTACAAGATGCAGCCAGACAAAGGCTGCAAGTTCGAGGCAGGGCGAGTGAAGCGGGTGCTGGAGGGGACCCTGGCCAGTGCCCTGGGGACCACGGTCTACAGCCCCCAGGGCAGCGCCCTGCTAGCCCAGAGCCTGGCCGAGCTGCTGCAGAGCCAGGCAAAGGAGGTGGTGCCACCCCGCTACAAGCTGGTCTGCAACGTGCTGCTGGGCCAGCAGGGCCAGCAGAGCCTGCTGGTGGCCAGCCGGGCACTGTGGGACCCCGAGACTGACAGCTTTGCCTCCGCCACCTTCTCCAACGCCTCCCTCTTTGCTGTAGCCACAGTGCACGGGGTCTACTTTGAGTAGTGCCCCTCTCCCTCCGCACAGCCCTGTAGAGCTGCAGGAGGAAAACAGCTGAAATAAAGAGGTTTGTTCCAGCTGTGTCTTATACCTAGAGTCTTTGGCCATGGTAGGGAGGTACCTCAGCACCTTGATGCTTACTACAGCCCCCAGTCTGGGCTTACACTCACACTGAAGCTTCTACTGCCACGGTTTGCAAAAAAAAACCCAAAGCTGAAGCAAATACAACCCAAAAGGCTGCATGAGCCTGGAGCAGGCAGCTGCCCAGCCTGTTTCCCACAGCACAAGCTGCTCACAGGCGGATTCATTACACCAGCACTGGGGAAGGAGGTGACAGATCACATTCAAAGCAAGATCATGGGGCAGATAAAGTCCCTCCTCTTTCCTGGCATCAGTCCCAGCTCCTATCCCATCAGGTCAGGTGTCACTGTGCAAGAGCCCAGGCAACCCACCCAGCCCCTGGGCCACAGCCCCTGCCTTCTCCAGCTCAGCAGAAGCACGAGAAGAGGTGGGTTTGGTCCAAGTGCAGACAGATGGGAATTAGAATTCAGCAGCAGCAAGGAGAAGCTGAGGCAACTCCAGAGCTCCACAGACATCAGCAAGAGCTAACCCTGCCCTTCCCACCAGCCCCAGGAAGGGTAATGGAGGTACCACAGGGGCTTCTCACCCGCATCCTGCCTCCCTGACCTTGTCCCCCAGCAACAGTCAGTGTCAAGAGGGGTCACACCTTGCAGGCAGAAGCAGCCCTGGAGCAAGGGCGATGGGCAAGGTAAAACTCTTTAGTGACACCAGCTCCAAGCAAGGCTGACAGAGTTTGCCCTTACACAAATAAGTTTTTATTGAGGTGAGTCAGGGACAGGGGAGCCACACATGGACAGACCAACAGGAAAATAAATAATTCCATATAAATAAGATACATAAATAGTCCCAACACAGCAGAGACTGCCTTGAAACAAGTCCCAGCAAGACAAGGGCTTCTTCAGGCAAGCCCTCAGATCCCATCCCCCCCACCCCTTATCAAACCTCAAGTTGTACCAGACAATTCACAATTTGGGAACATACAGGACACAGCTGGGCCCAGCACAGCCCCTTCCTTAGTGTAGCAGTTGTGGAGTGGCAACTCCAGTCCACTCAGCCCCTGGCAGGGCAGGCAGCACCCTTCACCCCTGTCTGCCCCCCTGGGAAGGAGGTTTCCCTACCCCACAGCAGCCAAGCCTTGAGGTCAAGGCTGTGCCAGTCCTCTCCAGGCCATGGAGAGGGTCTGTGCAACTGGTGCCCCACCTTGGGCAGCACAGCCTGAGCCCCCACTGCAGGCAGCTGCCAGCCAGGGCAGGCTGGAGCACCAGGCCACAAACAAAGCACAGCCAGCCCCAAAACTGGCTGCAGGGCACTCACCCACCACCTCCCTGGGCCACCCCAGTCCACTCTATCAAGACCAGCACAATCAGAGCAGGACCTGCCAGGGGGAAGACAGCGATTGCCCAGAGCCAGGAAGCAGCAAGGATGTCCAGATCTGCTGCTGTAACCACATCCACATGTCTTAGTCCAGAGTCCAGCTGAGCAGCAGGATACAGGATGCCCAGGTGGGCAGCCAGCACCACAACATGCCTCCCATCCTGTGGGAGGGCAAAGGAAGACCTCTACATCCAGAGAGGGTCCCCTAAGGTCCCATATTAGGCCTCAGCCCTTTCTTGGAGGAGCTTGAGGATATATCTGAGGCGGTGCTGGAGCTCAGGAGAGCAGCCCAGCTCCTGGATGCTGCACAGCTTGTAGGTGTAGGAGTTGCGCTCTCGGTTGATGTAGGTGACAAGGCAGGAGTGGTCAGGCTTGCTAATGATCACCTTGGTGTGGTCATTGTAGAAGTTCACCTAGGAGACAGGTTGGGCTTGGTTTAACCCACGCTTCCCATGGCATGTCGGGAACCAGGATGAAGCCACGCTTCCTGCTTCAACCCGTTCCTCCTCCCCGACCTGCCCAGGAGCATCCCTGCTTCATGCCCCACGGCAGGAACACAACAGCCCCAGCACTGGGGCAGACAGAAGTGGCCAACTGAAGCATCATATCCCCCATGGGCTGGACAAGCTGCGATCAGCAGCTTTGGGCACTGGAGCAGCATCCTGTACCCACAGCTGTTTACCCAGCTGGACCTTGCATTTGGGCTGTGGCAGACAAGATCTAACACAGGCCAGGAGTCCCCAGCTGGCCCCCCTCCTCACAGGAGTCTGGGCATCTCCACTGTGCCCCACACATACCTGGAGGGTGCCACTGCTGAAGAGCATGAGCAAGGCTTGGTCAGTCTTCACCCACTGAAGGAGGAGCAGGGCTGGCTGCCCAAGGTCATCTACACTGGGCAAGTCACCTCCCTTGAAGAGAAGGGTCTGCGTAAGCCATTGATCCCATACATGGGAGCATTGCTACCAGCACACACACACAGCCAAACCTGGACACACCCCCAGTGAGCTCCCCACTCCCAGGACACAACTCTCTAGGTGTCCATCTGACCACAGCCTGAGAGCCAGGAGTCCTACAACCCCAAGCAGAGCAGTCAAGCCATGACCCAACATCCAACCCACCCATGATGCCAGCCCACTCCAGGGCCCCAGCACCCACCTTCATGAGATGCTGCTCCATGTAGGATGCAAAATAGCGCAAGACACTCATCTGTCCCTGCAGCTGCTCGGGGATGGCGGCCACAGAGAACACAAGGTGCTTGCTGTTGGTTGGGTTGTAATGCACCGTCCTGGGAGGGAGCAGACAGTGAGCTTTGGGGCTCCCCAGCACCAAATGCACACCTAGTACAGGCTCCCCTTGCCCCTTCCCACCCGAGGGACTTCCCCAGACACCAGCCCCTTCCCCACTGCTTACCTGTGGTTGGGGGAAAGGGTCATGTGCGTGCCGTTGTTGAAGAGCACCCCAATGCTGCGGTTGGAGAGCTGGTAGCCAAAGCCGTACTTGTTGGAGTAATCCACCCACTTGCTCACCCAGACAAAGTGCTCATGGCGGGCCAGGGAAGCTGGGTTTTTCTCCGCTGGTGGGGAGGAAAGGGGGTGAGCAGAATAGGTAGTCAACCCCTGCTCACCTCACCTCCCCAGGGGGGAGCAGATTCCCCGCAACAGGCTCTGGCAGCATTTAATGTACCCCAAATAGCAATCGTGCCTTCATCCCATGCGGGAGGGGAGGCACAGAGCCCTGTCCCACCCCAGAGCAGTCCAACCGGTTTACCTGGGGGCATGGAGAAGAGGCAGGTCCGCAGGAGCCGGACAGCCGACTCGATGATGGCAGAGGCGGTGATGCAGTCTTCAAAGGCTGCAGAGAAGATGACAGGCTGAGTCAACTGGCCCCGCTATCAGCCAGGGCAGGTCAGGAAGCTCGGGGCAGGCTGGGGTGGCCTGGGCAGGTATTGCTCACCCTCACAGCTGCTGGCCATCGTCCCGCGGATGGAGGGGGACACAGACTTGTGTGACGTCTCCTCCACCACCGTCTCCACGGGGCTAGAGCTGGCACTGCGGCACGATACAGGGGTGGCCTGCGGAATAGGCCTGGATTTATCACCATCCTGCCTGCCCCCCCCCCGCAGAGGCACACGCACAGGCTCAGGGATGTTCTCACCTCATTCCCTTCCACGGTTTTATAGCTCATCTGCCGGCAGATCGAGGTCTTCACCAGCCCAGTGACTAGCTTGGAGAGGTCATCCTTGTCCTCTAAAGAGCTCTTCTTGGCTGAGGAGAGAGCAAGCGATGAGCGCACTGCTGAGCACAGGGGATGGGGACATCTGGGCCAACCCTCCCAGTAGCTCAGCTCTCCCGCATCTGCTCCCGTGCCCATGGTGGTGAGGATGGCAGCAGGCAGCTGCCTCCCACTTTCACTTCCCAGTTCTCATGCAACACAGGGCTTCCAGGAGGAACTGCACCCATGGGTTGCAGCACAGCATCCGCTCCCCAGGCGCACACCCATGCCAGGCCATGAGCACCAGAAGGGCAGGGGCAAGCCCAGCTTGTGCTGGCCTTGGACAGGGGGCCCACAGGCACCCATCAGGAGGGGTCTCCAGGAGACAGGGCCCACTTGTCCCTGGAGGAAGTGTCACCCAGAAGCTCCCGGGAAAGTGCACGGACTCACCCTTGGGTTTCTTCTTCCCAAAGAGTGTCTTGGTGACTTTAGCAAACAGACTCTTTGCCGAGTTAGGGGGACTCAGGTCTGGAGCCATCACGCAGCTGCTGGGAGGGAGCTTCTCAGGCGTGTAGCCCTGCAGAGAGGTCAAGGCAGAGGTTTGCTTTCCATAGCTCACATGCTCCAGGCAGAGCAGCTGCCCTGGGCTGACCTCAGTCACTCACAGCCCTCCTGACAGCCAGCTTGCATTTCCGTCAAGCCTTGGCCCCACAACAGGAGTCAATATGGAAAACAGCCCGTGCTATAGGGGCAGGGCAGCAAGAGTACATCAGGTCCCTCCATTCCCCTGGCCAGTATTTGGGCAGGACAGCAGCTGCTTCCTTTGAAGATCTAAGGCATGTGCTCCAAGGATAGCACTCTGCACACCCCAGAAAGCCTCATCTCACGCAGAGAGAGGTCAAGGCCAGACTCCCACCCACTCACTTTGAAGAACTCATGGTCCAAGATCTCCTCAAGGGTGAGGCGGTCCTGGGGGTTGCGTCTGAGGATGCCGGCGATGAGGTGCTTGGCGGGCAGGGAGAGGAAGGCTGGGAGGGTGTACTCCACCTGCTTGATACACCTGTAGGTTTCCTTGAGGTCGGAGGTCTCAAAGGGAGGGTTCCCACACAGGAGGGTGTACCTGGGAGGGGACATGCATGCCACTGTCACATCCCTGCCAGGCTTGTGACTCAGCAGCACTTAAAGCAAGGAAGTTATTGGCATTTGGCCGGCCACACCTGGCCAGGAGCACCACTTCCAGCCCGGGGAAGCCGCGCTCATATCCGGCCACACTTCCTCCTAGCAACTGTTTAGAACAACAGGCGAGGAGCCCTGGGGAAGGGGACGGGGCAGGCAGGCAA